GTTGGAGGTTGCTGTGAGCTGTAATGCCACGGCACTCTGCCCAGGGGGACAGCTTGAGGCTCTGTCTCAAAAAAAAAAAAAAAAAAGAAAGAAATGCTAAATTTCAGTTTGACATTAGTAAAAACAATATAATCATTCTATACAATTTCACAGTTCCACTAATTCTAAGGATCCTTGCTTAAGAAAAATATACTAATTTCTGACAATTATTAAATTTTTTTCCTTGATATGGAAAATAAATGACCCATCTTTTGGTCCTCTTATACCAACAAGGCCCCTGTTTCTTCTCTCCCTCAAGTTTGCACCCCTGTGTGAGAGTTATCCATTTATCCAATAAACATTTATTATGTATTTTCCATGGGCTAGGTCTAGCACTAGGTACTTACAGAAAAAATGGTCTCTGCTCTTCAAGTAACTTTTAGTTTAAAGAGAGAGATACCCAGAAACAAGTACCTGTTCAAAATCAGTTCAAACTTTTCCTTAACCAGCTCAAACTTATCTAAATAGGATCGTATCATGTTACTATAATCTCTGTAACACAACACCCCATACTCCCTGCTTTAACTGACTCTATTTTACTACAGGCTCCCACTGTGTCCTGAACAGGTCTAGTACAGTGCCTGGAAGAGATCATTTCACTAATTTGTTTAGAATGGGACTTCTCAATCCTAGCAGACCCCACCCTACCCTGTACTTAAGAACACATTTTGTAAAGATACCATTACTATAATAAAGCAAAATTGATAGGTAATATTTCTAAACACATAAAGAAAATGTTATTTATCATAACAAAACATGTATTTAATGTTTAATATGCTGAGATGCAACTATACCAGAAGACATAATGAAGTACTCTGATACTTATACCTACTTATAAAGTACAGGTTTGGATTTAAGACAATTTACATTTGAACCTATTCTATACAAAAAAAAGGTCAAGGCATGGGTAGAACTAGAATATAAAGTATAAATATATAAAAAAAAACAGACTAGATTTATTTGAATATGAAAAGAAAAGGAAACAATCTTAACTGAGAGATAATATACCAAGACAAAGCATAGGCTATCGAAATGATGAAAATTAGGAAGTATACTTCTCCAAATGAGATGGCCTTATTAAAAGTGCAGGGTGCAGGTTCAAACCCGGCCCCGGCCAAACTGCAACAAAATAATAGCTGGGATTTGTGGCAGGCACCTGTGGTCCCAGCTACTCGGGAGGCTGAGACAAGAGAATCACCTAAGCCCAATAGCTGGAGGTTGCTGTGAGCTGTGATGTTACAGCACTCTACCAAGGGCAACAAAGTGAGACTCTGTCTCACACACACACACAAAAAAAGTGCAGGGTCAGGCTCAGAGCCTGTGGCTCAAGTGGCTAAGGCGCCAGCCACATACACCTAAGGTGGCGGGTTCAAATCCAGCCCAGGCCTGCCAAACAACAATGATGGCTGCAACCGAAAAAAAATAGCCAGGCATTGTGGTGGCCGCCTGTGGTCCCAGCAACAGG